AAAACAACACAACACAGAGATACAACACAACAACAACAACACAGAGACACGACAACACAACACAAAGACACAACAACACAGAGACACAACACAAAGACACAACAACACAAAAACACAACAACACAGAGACACAAAGACACAACAACACAGAGACACAACACAAAGACACAACAACACAGAGACACAACAACACAACAACACAAAGACACAACAACACAGATACACAACACAAAGACACAACCGCACAGAGACACAACACAAACACACGACAACACGACAACACAAAGACACTAACAACACAAAGATACAACAAAACAACACAACGACACAGAGTCACAACAACCAAACAACACACTGCCAAAACTGAAATCTAAGTAAGATTAAATATCTCAGCTCTGTGTCGCTAAAGCCCGCCCCTACTTCTCCCTCTCATGTCTCCAAAATTGAGGAAGTAGAAAATATATGATTTAACATTTAGGTGTTGCGAAAATGTATGTGCTTTTTATAGCTGCTGTCAGTTTACAAACGGCTTTTATATCCAACTCAATTTCACTCAGCTGACTGTTTTAACATCCACTAACGATCGTGTTTCAGTCAGTACATTGTGTGTTTGACTGAGGCTGGTGACTCGCAGTCTTGCTCGTTCACGTTCACTGAACGAACTGAGAGGAAGAGCTCCGACATGAATCACTGAACGTACTGAGAGGAAGAGAGTGACTCGGAGGCGGAGCTCCCGTTCAGTTTGTTCACTGAACTAACTGAATGGGAGCTCCGACATGAATCACTGAACGAACTGAGAGGAAGAGCGGAGCTCTTGTTCAGTTCGTTCAGTGAATGAACTGAACGAGAGCTCCGACATGAATCACTGAACGAACTGAGAGGAAGAGCGGAGCTCTCGTTCAGTTCGTTCAGTAAACGAACTGAACGAGAGCTCCGACATGAATAACTGAACGAACTGAGAGTAAGAGCGGAGCTCTCGTTCAGTGAACGAACTGAACGAACTGAGAGTAAGAGCGGAGCTCTCGTTCAGTGAACGAAATGAACGAACTGAGAGTAAGAGCGGAGCTCTCGTTCAGTGAACGAACTGAACGAACTGAGAGTAAGAGCGGAGCTCTCGTTCAGTTGAACGAGAGCTCCGCTCTTGCTCTCAGCTCCGCCTCTGAGTCACTCTCTTCCTCTCAGTCAGACAGTCAGTGAGTGATTTGTGTACTGAACGTACTGAACAGAACGGTCGGGGAAAATAAATGTGATTGTTTTAGCAGCTATCAGTTTGCTACAGCTTTATCCAACTATATTCTCAGCTCATTGGCTTATTATTCACCACCGGCTGTTCTCAGTACGATCGCGAGCAGAACTAAACGTTCGGCCGTGTTTCAGCTTATTAAATTCTGATTCACAGACAAAGCTGCAGAGAAGTACTGAACGATTCGGTGAACGAATCTTTTGAATGAATCACTTTACTGAACTGATTATACTGATTCAGTACACTGAAAAGAACTGCTTTTCACATCACTATTTGAAATGGTTGATATTCCAAACAATAAAGCATAGAATCAACAAGATATATGTTTCTGACTAGTCCAAACTCTGGCATACTACCATTCACTACGTTGGCAAGGATCATTGACTTCTGAATTATGTATTTATTGCCATTTATCACAAGCCATTTGACTGATACAGCATGGTTTACTTCATCATAACCTAAGAAGTCTCTCAGTTTTCCTTGTAAATACTGTAGAGCTTTAACCTCAGACACAGGTCCCATCTCCCTTTCATTTGAAAAGATTGGATGTATTGAAGGGTCAACATTTTGGCAGCTTTCATATATTTGATTCTGATTAACCAAAGACTTGCAAATGTTCTTAAAATTGAGCTTTAAGCCCATTGTTTAAAGAGGCAATGTTTAGATTCAAACCGCATACACATATGTCTAACCATTGGACCCAATGATCTTATCTGTGACGGCAAATGTATCAGATAATGCTGTTTAGGTGTAATATTGTGACTTCAATTAGTGACTTCAATCTAGAAACAGTTGCAATGGTCAGAACAGGTGCAAACACTATGTGCACAATCTCTATTAGATCATGTATCAGATGTACATATGCATTGTCTTCTACACTCTCCAAAACAAATGGTAATATCCTTAGCAGGACAAGAATTTGCCCAGATGACTGTTTTAATTTACCATCACCTGACATTAATGTACTCAGTGAAATTGGGGATGGCCGATCTCTAACATCCAGAGGGGAATAAGGGAAATTCAGAGTCCAGATCTATCAGTCCTGACTGAACAAGATGATGTAACACACTCTTGATTTCCAAAGGAGCTGTACCCTCCAGAATTACATGCATAATGTCTTGTGGAGTTTGTTGTATAATGTCAAAAGCAAAGAATTCAACTGATTTGCTCCTTCGATTGATCCCATATGTTGTTCTCAGGCTGTTGCGAAGCATCTGCCTTTTCTATTTCATTAGTCTGTCTGATATGCCTCTCTAAAATCCTTATAGTAAATGCATCTACATTGAAGTGTGACTGCATGTCCTCAAAAGAACACTCACAGTGTCTGCATTTACTGTAGGCAAAGCCAACACCCTCCTTGAACCTTGCCAGTTCATGCTGCGCCAGAGTGTCTCCACAGACAGAGACGATGGCACCATAAATAGTTTTCTGTCCATTACTAGTTTGCATTTTAACACCATTGTACAATGCATCCATATCTTCTTTGATTCTGTTCAATATTACATCTACACCACATTGACAGAGGTCTACAGATCTAGCCATGGCAAGTAACCTAATAGCAGCAAGTTTAGACCTGTATTTTGGATTTATGTTTGCTAGGGTGTAGTACACCATCAACAGTTTATTTTTTGATGCAAAGGATCCTAGTGGATTACAGACCTCTATTTCATCTGTGTACAGAACAATCTGCAATGCATTTGGTATCTCTGAAAATAAGGGATGTGATTTTAAAAGGGAGCCATCAACAATGTCCTGAAAAAAACCCTCCCTGCACCTCTGTGGACCCTTTTCAATCATAGCAAATATCTTCGGGTGTGATAAAAATTGCTCTAGACTTTTGACCAATGGAATGTAATGAAAGACTTTGTCTTTAATGAAAAAGTCTTTTGATGCTCCATGTTTCCTCTTGCGAATAGTTGGAGAAAATAGAATTTCCTCTGCATCCACAAAGCTTAACTGCTTCTCCATAACACTGTTCTGTCGAAATGTTGTTACAACACTTGTGAATGGGTCAACAAAACTGTCGAAAACATCCATTACTTCGTTTTGAAGGTGTCCTGATGTGCTTCCCGAATGCTTCTTCAGCACCTGCTCTATCTGGCTCCTGAGGTTGCTCATCAGTGATGATTGGTACTGCTGCACACCAGCAACAATGTCATTCAGGCCTTTCTGAAAATGACAAAAATAACACAACTTCATTTTGCTTATGATCTAAACATTAGCATAGGAGAGTGACTGTAGTGAATTAGATAACAAGACATCAACCATAACTGGACCATTACAAAACACTCTGTGTAAGTGTAAACGAGCAAATAAAAACTGGTCTGTTTTGGAAAAAAAACAAAAAACCCATCTTACCTGTGAGAGGCAATGCTTGGCCCATGCATTTATCACAAAGGCAGTGGCATGTGTTGTTAGATCCTAAAACAGTGGAAATTGTATTAAGTATCCTGACATATTGTGATCTGAGATTCATAGTAACATGTCAGGTACAATGTTAATCACAGAAAAAATAGTCCTTATAAATAGCCCATTGCATGTTAAATCATCTTTGCTCTCTATATCTAGTATGTTTTAGCTCTGATATAACATTTAGTCTTATCATTCATACATGAGGTGTCAAATCACACATTACTGTACTGTAGTTGGTATTTATCAGCTATAATATACTGATACCAATACATCAATTTCAGTAGATTGCAACCAGCAGTGTCACTTACTGGTTGTACTGTGGCAGCTCTGTCTTGGTTAATGTCCATTTGCCCTTCATCTGTGTCAGCTGTACAGAGCTGTTGACTGTTGATGCTGGAATCCTGAGGATGTTGATCAGGATGTTGATCAGGTTGAATATTGTGCTGTGTCACACATTTTACTTAATTTTGCAGATGTATTTCATTCCTGTTTGTAATTAAATATTTTCACACAAATCAAGCAGTGAATTTGCATACAAGTCAAGTTGATTTATAATCAATATTTCTTCATACATGACGTTCTGTTTGCTTTAGGACCCTCTAACAGACAGATGACTTGTTGCTTGTGCCAGCGTGTGAAACTACTGTAATGTTAACAACTGATAATATAATGATCGGAAGTTTTTCCGTTATGTTTTATTTTGAAATTTACCTGATGCTCTGTGCGTTTGCTTTCCTGTGCGGTCTACTTTTTACGCTGCGATCAGACGTCAATACCATAGACTGTATAAAGGTCAATACAGTCAATGGTCAATCCCAATCCACGTAGATCGACGTCGCACAATGCAAAAATCTAAATAAAATACAACGGACAAACTTCCGATCGTAAATCATCACCTTGTCAACATCAGTTTATGACAGAAGCAACTGTCAGTCAAAGGGTCCTAAAGCTAACAGGACGTCATGTATGAAAATATTTGGGGCTAATAGTAGCAAAGTAACTCACTTGTTGCTGCGGCGGTCCCTTGACTTTCCTCGTTCCACCTGCTGGTCTGGTGCTTTCAACAAGATATTGGGAGTGTCTTCTCTTGACATGATGATAGAATGAGTTATACACTCGATATTCCTCTGTACACCTGTCAAAACCACAGAGCAACTTGAAGTCAGGGCTTCGGCTGTGCATTCGATTAATGTGGCTTAGTAAGAGTTTCAGTGTAAAAGTGATGAAAATAAGGCAGATAACGCAGCGCCAAATAATTTTGAAGTTTTCAAAAATGATATTCAAAACGTATAGACAGGTAGAGTTTCTCCTGCAGGCTCTGAAAGAGATGGGAAAAGTACGTGAAACGACGGGCTGTTGACCACACTATCTAGCAGCATAGGGGAGTTCTATGAATTAAGCTTTTTTTAGAGTTTTTTTTTTATTAGTAGTTATGATGTAATTTATGGAAGCAACTGGTTGCAGATACAAATCTTTAAATATATCGCATGAATTTCGAATTAGGACTCCATCAGTTAATAATATTCTCCCTTTGCACAACATGTACGTCACCCCCATTTTATGACATGGTACATTCCAAATGGGAACGCGCCAGAAAGGGTCAGCGGCGGGTCAGCGGCGGGTCAGTTGCAGCGGGCTACCTGTCTACAGTTGTGCCTTTGACATTTGAGCTGTTGGTAATCTTCTAAACTGACTGCGCCATGGAAGAAGATGGAAGTGCTTTTTCAGGCATGGACCAATCAACAGTTGCAGTATTGAAAGGTAATGTTAATTTGCTTTTGTCTGTCTTTGCATGTTAAGCTAATTGTGAAGTTGGCTAACAAGTCGTCACATGCTAATTTTAACAAACTGGTTTACTTCATAGACTGTAAAAATAATGGACGGGGACAAGGTCCCCGGTCTAGTGAAGCTTTTATTTTTAGAGCTTCCCCTGCTGACTGGCTGCAGTATAGGTCATAAACCCCGCCTCCTCAATGATAACAGACGGGATGTGGGTCAAACTGTAAAGCTAAAATACTTGTCACATAATTTTTTTCCAAACCAAAACTCTGCTGTGATCATTAGTTATTATCACCCTACATTGTGTTCAAGCGCTCATTTTTCTGTGAAGTTTGTTTTAAATAAGTTATTTGAGGTTGAAAAACGGGATTTTACGACATATTTGACGCTGATTGACGGCCGCCGAGCTTGCGTAGCTGTCTTTGTGAATAGCAAAGGTTATGTAGTGAAGGAAAGCTGAGACACCATTGAATTTTTCCGTTCAGTTTTTTCGTCTTTTTTGAGCTGGCAAAATGAGTTGTTCTGCAAAAGTGTGATTTATGTGTCATTGGTTGGTTAAAGTCGTTATCTAGTTAGCTAACACATAAGCAGTCTAAGGTTAGCTGAAATGTTGTAAAGCTAGGTTACTTATCCGGCATGATTTATCTTTTAATTTTATTGCTGTGTTTCTTGATATTGTTATATCGTTATTGTGATTGAAATTGTATTTAAAACCAAGAATCATAATAAAAAATCCGCTCACAGATGCGGTTCATTGACTGTACAGTTATTTTACAGCAAAAATAAATACGTCTGGTAAGGTCTCAAAAAAGTATCTAGGGCAAAAGCAAAGCCAAATAATTGTAATCTGGCCTGCATCATTACTAATGTGTACATTTTTACAGTCTGAGTGATAAGTGGGCTATACCGAGAGTAACAGGTTTTACTTTCACCGTGCAGGCTGAAATTCATAGTACTATATACGAGGGTAGAATATTTCTCTATGTATCCAGATAAAACTAAAGGTAAGCTCTGATTCAATATAATTGTTACTGATTTAAGAGACTAACCGAAACATGAACGCAAACATCAACAACCGGCGGTGTTGTAATATTAACCGAGCATCATGCTGCTTTAACATGCTAAATATTCTGCATTGTCTTCCACACACTACCACTTCAACAGTCACAAGTTGATCATATTGTAAATTTAATGACGCTCATTGAGAATTTGTACTAAAAATTGACAAAAATTGACAAAAACTGAGGTGATTGTGACTGTGTCTGTATTTAACACCTTTGAAAGGAAGGTGTTAATGCAGGAGACCAGTGTTACACACAACATGCTGTTGTTATGGAGCTCAGCGTAAGTTCAGACAGGAAGACTGGTTATATTCTTCCACTCATTAATTCAACCTAAACCACTCCCCCTACTACTTCCTCTGTCTCCCTTCTCTGGTGATCAGCTGATAATGGGCGTTTATTCTTTAAGTAATTAACCAAACAGATTCGGGCACAACCTCTCTCAACCAATCATCCTGCTGCGGCAAAATGCTAAATCAGTTCTCTCTCTTCCACAGTCATTCTGTCATTTCAGGGCAACCGCTGCAACCCACCACCGCCCCAGTCACCTCCATTTCAGCTCAGCAGAGTCCAGATTCAGGCTCATCATAGCCTCCATTCCTCTTCACCACCACCAGTGTCTAGACTCCATAAGGGGGTCTCCTAGCCTGCTGTCGGCTTCATTACCTTCCGAGTCGGAAGTCATCACGATGGAGTCTAATCCCCCAAAGACTTTGCACATTCAAAATTAAATTGTTACACATTTATTGTAAATAAATAATTATTCATTCTCAATTAAGTCTCTCCTGATTGAAATGGTAGTTAGGAGGAGACATAGGCACAATAAAAAAAGACATAAAGATCACGTTTTTCCCCACAAGTGTTAATATGTTTTAAATGTCATGCATTTATTTTTGATTTTGCTTCAATAATCGTTTACGAAGAGAAACACCATGATTAAACTACAGGCTATTGTTGCCTTTTTATATCCAAAGAAAGCTGAACATTCACAGCCTCTGCATTCAAAAGAATTTCAACATTGACATTTATGTCGTCCTATTTCCCTCTTTTCATCAACATTATATTTTAAACAGGGATTTCCTTTTTCTCAGCTCGCGTGTCTCTCCCCCAGCTCGCCCTCTCCGTGAGCTCCTCTCCATAATGCGCGCGTCTCCTCCCTCTACAGCCCGCTGCTGTTACTCTGTAGGACGCTTTGATTGGGGCACCTCACCAATAAAATACTATTTTATATTTTATAAGCAGTTTGCCACCACACTGCACTTTTACTCTCCAAAGGCATATGAGTATGTGCGTGACAACTTTAACAAAGCTTTACCACACACGCTGATCCAGCATTTACTGTAGCATCTTTTACAGCGCTAAAAGGTCATGTACAGGCAAACAGAGAGAAGGGAAAAAGAAACAATCTGTGCTCTCAAATAACAAAACACAGTCTCAAATCTTTTTGAGGAATTACAGCTAAAAAAAACCCATGAATTTAATAAAGCTGATCATATTATTGGATTCATCCTGTCTTATTATATATTTTGTTTTTCCTCTTAAAGAGTTATCCTGTCTTAAAAACAAACTTTAGAACCTGAAGTTTAGCAGAACCTGAGGACAGATCTGAGGCATAAACATCACAGTAAAATTCATTATACTTTACATTTAACTCCATGATTGTTTTTCTTTATTACAGAAGATGCCCTCAGATTGAGATCCATCAGCAACCCCTGACAACATAGAGAACTCGTCCCCTGAGCATTTCCTGTCCTCTCTTGATGGAGTTCTTCTCTTTAGTCATTAACTCTTGAAATCAGCAGCACAAAATGCCAGACTGTTTGACAAGTCTGTGATTGAATAAATTGAAATGGAATCTCATGCGTATCTTGCTATGCTTATTGGCTTTAAATGTTTAATATTTAATACGTTTGAAGGCCATTTATCTCAGACGAGCCCGGCTGTGACAAGCTGAGCTCATCTGCTAGCTTTGTTGTTGTCTTAGCTGTTGTTGGTCGAAGAAATTAATGTCAGTTCAAGGCCTTTTCAAATGTGAGCTATAAACTTAACTGCTAAATTATTTTACTGTACAACACGTTGTAGTGCTCCAGTTAATCAGAGACAGTCAATTCAGATTTAAAAACAGTTTATTTAAACATTTTATGAAAAAAAAAAATCTTCAATAAACAACCCCTGGCTTCATTAACCATGTGAAAAATAAGTAAGGGAGACCATCAGGTCCAATTGGTGGGACAAAGTATAAAAAAGAATTTAACAAAGAAATCCAAAGAAAAATCAAATAAAGTAAAGAGATCCTGGATGATTGTTTGACTGTTAAAATATGATGGAAAAGCAAATCCAACACAACCCTCCAGCATTTGGCCTTCCAAACACAGGGCAACATCATGTAAAGAAAAATAGCACCATTGAATATTGACCAGGATCTCTGTGTTTTATCTGAGGATGACTATGGTAGCCTTCTCACTGTTCACTGTCACAAAGCACCAGACTCTGTCCACCTTCTTCAGTTGTGCAGACGTCGATCAGCTCCTCTGGGTGATGGCAGAGAGGACTCTTCATCTGGGTCATTTCTACCACAGTGGATGAGTAGGGCATCTGGCACAGCTCTTAGTCCAAGCACAGGTGAAAAAAGGGAGGAGGTTCCTTCAAACTATGCGACCCCAGCCTGACCACTGTAACAGGTGTGCAGACAAATGTTGAAATTAGTAATTTTTAGGTTCTGTTGACTGTAAAATGGAAAAGAAAACATCACCTTTCTATTTAACATTTAGCTGGTGTATGACTCGGTGTGATTTTTATTTTGTTTTAGAAGACTGTATTGTTAACAATAGCTTGTTTTTACAATCCTCATATGAAACTTAAATAAAAATCACAGGCTATATAACTTTTAACAGATGATTTTAACTTACACTTAACCTCTGTGGAAGATGTCAGACCAGCTGCTTTTATCTCTTCTTTGCCTAAATGAAGATACAAAAAACAATTGATTTACTGTTCACTTAAATATATTAGAAAAGCAGACTTGAATCGCATTGCAAACTATCAGTTTCTAATGATGTGGATTTCCTTGTTGTTGATATGTTTGATGATGAAGAAATTCGCCGTTGAGACTGACTTGCTTTCAAAGAGTATAATTTTATTTAAGCAAGAAACAGAATCACTGGTCACGTCTGACCAGGAGGATCAAGAAGCCAATAATGATCTCTCTCGAACACACAGAGACAATTGCTTATATGCATCCAAACATCCGCTTTTCGTCATGGGTCATAAAACATCACGTTACACAACCACATGTGGCAATACTCCTATACAATACCTCAATTTAAACATTCCACCTGAGGGGACTCCTAAATCTCCTTCAGATACTATCACAAGACGCACCCGTTGTAAACTTATATTATCTCTGTCCTAGTTACATCAGACACTTCATAGTCCCCCCTAGCGAGACTATAGTCTCGCAAACGAGATAAATTATACAATTATGATGTTAATTAGCCTCATACAAATCACTTCTGTTCATGCTTAACCTTAGTAATATAGTAAAATTTTATTTGTGGAGTGTGAGAGCGAAAAACCCATCAAGCAGCTATCTTTCTTTATTATCCATCAAACAATCTAGACAGGAAAACTCTCTCACGGTCCCTCTGCCCCAGGCAACCACCTATAGTACTCCAAACCAATTAAAAAGAAAAGGGTTATGAAAACTTTTTAGGATGATATATAAATGCACACATTCAAAACCTCAGAAATAAAATCTAAAAATTGTCCAAAGTCAGGCTGGTCGACCCATCGCACCTTCCAATGGACCTCTCCCTACCTAACACCACTTTCCCTAAGGATCGATAAAGAAAGAAAACACCTGAGGTCCCAATATATGCATCTTATACAGTTCCAGAAAAATATGTCTTGCTAAAAATATCTACTATAAAGTAAAACATACAAAAATATTTATCAATATTACAAGTTACATTGTAATAAACCCTCAATGATTTTTCAATCGAAACCCCTCATCATGATGTCTTCATTCAGGTTTCCGTTGTCCATTTCCATCCTCCATTTTCTTAAGTTTGGTTGTTTCAACTCCATTAATCTGGAAGGATCTCTGGACAATCAGCCACCCTCACATTGGTCTCCCAAATATCATCCTGGGAAGAAAAATCAACAGCCAGTATCTTTGTACATACAAAAACATCAAAGATATTCATTTTTGTATCATACTTTCACCTTATTCCACTACATGATTAACATATACATGATTAACATATTCAATTCCCCCCTTTTATCAATTCACTTCCAGTTCAAAATAATAGTGAGTCAATGTTGAATTCAGATATTCAAAAATGGATATTTCTCTCCAATCTCTATGACCTCCTCACCTTCACTTAGGTCATTACCACTCAGTAGCGGCATCTGAATGTTTTCTCCTGGCATCACAACTCCTACCCATCTCAATATCATAGCCTTAGCAAAGGTCAACAACAGCGTACAAAAACAAAACATCACACACAGTGATAGAAGGGTAGCCACCAAAATCTGAACCACTATAGCTCCTACTGGTCCTAATTGGTCTTGTAACCAGGTATTCGCAGACCATCCCGCTCTTTCTGATGGACCAAATGAATCCCTAATTAGTTTCAAAGCATCTATGACACTAGTCATATTGTCAGTAGCATCAGGAATCAAAGTGTAACAGGCTTCTCCAGTTAGATTCAAAGCTACACAGAGGCCACCTTGTTTGGCCAAAATGTAATCAAGAGCCATGTCATGTTTCAGCAACGTCAATCGATGACTCCTCTGAGTATTTGACAAATATTCAAAACCTTTTATGGTCTCGTTTGCAAAACCTTGCAGGGTATATGTAATATTATCAATATGATCAGCTAAGTATGTAACACCATACCATGGAAACAATCCTATTCCCCATTTCTCTCCCAAACTTATCCTCCAATGATAAGACTCCAAGTTGTGAAATTGTGCCAAATCTCTTTTCTTTCTACTGCTAGAGATTGTCGTAGAGTTATCCTCATCAGACCCTTGTCCCTTCTGAATAACAAAAACATCATACGGAAGTTTCAACTGTGCCATATAACAACATCCAATCCAACCATAAGGTAAAAATAAGTATGCCTTATCGCCACAAATCCACCAGATATCTTTAAATGTTCCTATGGTAAAATTACCCGGTAAAGTTTGATTCTTTACACTTAGAGTTTTACTCAGTCGGCGATGTGGTGCATGAAAGGTCACTGTATACATGTCATCAATAGCCCTTTGATCACGTCGTCCAAATTGCATCATATAGTTATCACATTCTGATATTCCCATAAACATACCATCTCCACCATGAGTACCATTTGAACAAAAACAAATTTAACCTTCACAGGTGTCACTTCCATAGGATCAGGGACTGCTGTCGTAATATCTTCATACTGATCAAGGAGATTTATATATGATAACTTCTTCAACCAAGCACAATTCCGTTGAGGTGTAAATAGATGCACCGACACGGCCATCCAATAATCCTTTGGTGCTTGTTGCTTAAATACCAACCACGATAGCGCATAATTTTGACATTTAGAAGTTAAAGGTTCTGGTACCGTCTCTAGAATTGAAGGCCATGTGCCTGGTGCTGGAACTCTCACGACACATGGACCACTCAAATTACTAGCCAATCTAACAGAGTGAGTCAACTGTTGGTACCACATATTTCTACTTGCCCACGGGTCTGCAATTTGCAACACCGAGGAATCAAACCCATAAGCTTTCCATTGGGTTTCACGCTTCTCTAATGCATGAAGATGTTTAGTCATGACTTCTGATGTCCCGTCAGCATCTACAAAATCACCAATCAGATTCGACATAGTCATCTGAATTGTTTCAGCTGCCTTAACTAATGTAGATGTAGCAACAGATGCCAACATCATACCTCCAGACTCTGTAGACACCGAAGAACTCATCATTGTTTCGTTGATAGTAGATCCCATCTTTACAACCTCACTTGTAAAATTACTCGCAGCTAGAGTAGTAACCAAAGTTGATACGTTAATACTACTAGTTATTCTCTGAGCTACAGTAGTAGACATCATCTGTTCATCAGTCACCCTTGGAGTGACTAGTTGCTTTTGAACCTCTTTAGCCACCGTAACTACTTCAATAGGATCTAGGCCTTCTACCACAAGCATTATCTTACGAGTTCTATACCCTTTTACCCAATAATTGTGATATGGTACAAATTTAAACTCTGGATCCAAATAAGTGCATGTATATTCTCCCTGATCTTCCCCTGTTACATTGATTAGGACAAGTGTACAGTCGTCTACAACCCTAAACAACCTTATGTGATTGTACAAAATATACTTTCTTTGATCATGAGGCACGCTATTAATTTCAGGTCCTGTTAGCACTATTTCTTCACCACGGGCATTTTTCCAATTAGGGGGATTATTATCATCATTATTCCATTTTCCACATTTACATGGAAGGCGTGCTGAATTCCCTAACGTAGCTTTAATCACAATGTTTACAGGAAATTGAGTTGTAGAAATCATTTGAGGCTCAGCTGTATTTAGACGCAATATCTCTGTGACGTCAGTAACCTTCAGTTTTGAAAAGGTGGATGTCTGCTTTATTTTCTCAATCAGCGGGAGAGTTGATATGGTAGTTGACAGTTTTCCTACTTCAACAACCAGGGGTTTTGCAATTCTAGTTTCATTTAGTACCACTAAAGTCACAATACTGTTTCTGTAACCTAACCCCGATTGGCACTATGCTCTCCCATATTTACTAATTTTGGGTCATAATATGTACACTTATAGTCACCTTGATCTTCAATCTGAGATCTACGTAAATAAAGACTACAG